ATGAGTGCATTTTTAGTCATTTTTGAGAAACTTTTTTTTCCGGAGATTAGTTCAGGATCTTATTGGCATAGTATGTAAGGGTGATCAAAAGTTGTCGTACCAAAAAAGTATATTTTTTCTGAATTTTAACAACAGAAATGGACATAGCTAAGTATTTTAAGGCAAATGAGTGCATTTTTAGTCATTTTTGAGAAACTTTTTTTTCCGGAGATTAGTTCAGGATCTTATTGGCATAGTATGTAAGGGTGATCAAAAGTTGTCGTACCAAAAAAGTATATTTTTTCTGAATTTTAACAACAGAAATGGACATAGCTAAGTATTTTAAGGCAAATGAGTGCATTTTTAGTCATTTTTGAGAAACTTTTTTTTCCGGAGATTAGTTCAGGATCTTATTGGCATAGTATGTAAGGGTGATCAAAAGTTGTCGTACCAAAAAAGTATATTTTTTCTGAATTTTAACAACAGAAATGGACATAGCTAAGTATTTTAAGGCAAATGAGTGCATTTTTAGTCATTTTTGAGAAACTTTTTTTTCCGGAGATTAGTTCAGGATCTTATTGGCATAGTATGTAAGGGTGATCAAAAGTTGTCGTACCAAAAAAGTATATTTTTTCTGAATTTTAACAACAGAAATGGACATAGCTAAGTATTTTAAGGCAAATGAGTGCATTTTTAGTCATTTTTGAGAAACTTTTTTTTCCGGAGATTAGTTCAGGATCTTATTGGCATAGTATGTAAGGGTGATCAAAAGTTGTCGTACCAAAAAAGTATATTTTTTCTGAATTTTAACAACAGAAATGGACATAGCTAAGTATTTTAAGGCAAATGAGTGCATTTTTAGTCATTTTTGAGAAACTTTTTTTTCCGGAGATTAGTTCAGGATCTTATTGGCATAGTATGTAAGGGTGATCAAAAGTTGTCGTACCAAAAAAGTATATTTTTTCTGAATTTTAACAACAGAAATGGACATAGCTAAGTATTTTAAGGCAAATGAGTGCATTTTTAGTCATTTTTGAGAAACTTTTTTTTCCGGAGATTAGTTCAGGATCTTATTGGCATAGTATGTAAGGGTGATCAAAAGTTGTCGTACCAAAAAAGTATATTTTTTCTGAATTTTAACAACAGAAATGGACATAGCTAAGTATTTTAAGGCAAATGAGTGCATTTTTAGTCATTTTTGAGAAACTTTTTTTTCCGGAGATTAGTTCAGGATCTTATTGGCATAGTATGTAAGGGTGATCAAAAGTTGTCGTACCAAAAAAGTATATTTTTTCTGAATTTTAACAACAGAAATGGACATAGCTAAGTATTTTAAGGCAAATGAGTGCATTTTTAGTCATTTTTGAGAAACTTTTTTTTCCGGAGATTAGTTCAGGATCTTATTGGCATAGTATGTAAGGGTGATCAAAAGTTGTCGTACCAAAAAAGTATATTTTTTCTGAATTTTAACAACAGAAATGGACATAGCTAAGTATTTTAAGGCAAATGAGTGCATTTTTAGTCATTTTTGAGAAACTTTTTTTTCCGGAGATTAGTTCAGGATCTTATTGGCATAGTATGTAAGGGTGATCAAAAGTTGTCGTACCAAAAAAGTATATTTTTTCTGAATTTTAACAACAGAAATGGACATAGCTAAGTATTTTAAGGCAAATGAGTGCATTTTTAGTCATTTTTGAGAAACTTTTTTTTCCGGAGATTAGTTCAGGATCTTATTGGCATAGTATGTAAGGGTGATCAAAAGTTGTCGTACCAAAAAAGTATATTTTTTCTGAATTTTAACAACAGAAATGGACATAGCTAAGTATTTTAAGGCAAATGAGTGCATTTTTAGTCATTTTTGAGAAACTTTTTTTTCCGGAGATTAGTTCAGGATCTTATTGGCATAGTATGTAAGGGTGATCAAAAGTTGTCGTACCAAAAAAGTATATTTTTTCTGAATTTTAACAACAGAAATGGACATAGCTAAGTATTTTAAGGCAAATGAGTGCATTTTTAGTCATTTTTGAGAAACTTTTTTTTCCGGAGATTAGTTCAGGATCTTATTGGCATAGTATGTAAGGGTGATCAAAAGTTGTCGTACCAAAAAAGTATATTTTTTCTGAATTTTAACAACAGAAATGGACATAGCTAAGTATTTTAAGGCAAATGAGTGCATTTTTAGTCATTTTTGAGAAACTTTTTTTTCCGGAGATTAGTTCAGGATCTTATTGGCATAGTATGTAAGGGTGATCAAAAGTTGTCGTACCAAAAAAGTATATTTTTTCTGAATTTTAACAACAGAAATGGACATAGCTAAGTATTTTAAGGCAAATGAGTGCATTTTTAGTCATTTTTGAGAAACTTTTTTTTCCGGAGATTAGTTCAGGATCTTATTGGCATAGTATGTAAGGGTGATCAAAAGTTGTCGTACCAAAAAAGTATATTTTTTCTGAATTTTAACAACAGAAATGGACATAGCTAAGTATTTTAAGGCAAATGAGTGCATTTTTAGTCATTTTTGAGAAACTTTTTTTTCCGGAGATTAGTTCAGGATCTTATTGGCATAGTATGTAAGGGTGATCAAAAGTTGTCGTACCAAAAAAGTATATTTTTTCTGAATTTTAACAACAGAAATGGACATAGCTAAGTATTTTAAGGCAAATGAGTGCATTTTTAGTCATTTTTGAGAAACTTTTTTTTCCGGAGATTAGTTCAGGATCTTATTGGCATAGTATGTAAGGGTGATCAAAAGTTGTCGTACCAAAAAAGTATATTTTTTCTGAATTTTAACAACAGAAATGGACATAGCTAAGTATTTTAAGGCAAATGAGTGCATTTTTAGTCATTTTTGAGAAACTTTTTTTTCCGGAGATTAGTTCAGGATCTTATTGGCATAGTATGTAAGGGTGATCAAAAGTTGTCGTACCAAAAAAGTATATTTTTTCTGAATTTTAACAACAGAAATGGACATAGCTAAGTATTTTAAGGCAAATGAGTGCATTTTTAGTCATTTTTGAGAAACTTTTTTTTCCGGAGATTAGTTCAGGATCTTATTGGCATAGTATGTAAGGGTGATCAAAAGTTGTCGTACCAAAAAAGTATATTTTTTCTGAATTTTAACAACAGAAATGGACATAGCTAAGTATTTTAAGGCAAATGAGTGCATTTTTAGTCATTTTTGAGAAACTTTTTTTTCCGGAGATTAGTTCAGGATCTTATTGGCATAGTATGTAAGGGTGATCAAAAGTTGTCGTACCAAAAAAGTATATTTTTTCTGAATTTTAACAACAGAAATGGACATAGCTAAGTATTTTAAGGCAAATGAGTGCATTTTTAGTCATTTTTGAGAAACTTTTTTTTCCGGAGATTAGTTCAGGATCTTATTGGCATAGTATGTAAGGGTGATCAAAAGTTGTCGTACCAAAAAAGTATATTTTTTCTGAATTTTAACAACAGAAATGGACATAGCTAAGTATTTTAAGGCAAATGAGTGCATTTTTAGTCATTTTTGAGAAACTTTTTTTTCCGGAGATTAGTTCAGGATCTTATTGGCATAGTATGTAAGGGTGATCAAAAGTTGTCGTACCAAAAAAGTATATTTTTTCTGAATTTTAACAACAGAAATGGACATAGCTAAGTATTTTAAGGCAAATGAGTGCATTTTTAGTCATTTTTGAGAAACTTTTTTTTCCGGAGATTAGTTCAGGATCTTATTGGCATAGTATGTAAGGGTGATCAAAAGTTGTCGTACCAAAAAAGTATATTTTTTCTGAATTTTAACAACAGAAATGGACATAGCTAAGTATTTTAAGGCAAATGAGTGCATTTTTAGTCATTTTTGAGAAACTTTTTTTTCCGGAGATTAGTTCAGGATCTTATTGGCATAGTATGTAAGGGTGATCAAAAGTTGTCGTACCAAAAAAGTATATTTTTTCTGAATTTTAACAACAGAAATGGACATAGCTAAGTATTTTAAGGCAAATGAGTGCATTTTTAGTCATTTTTGAGAAACTTTTTTTTCCGGAGATTAGTTCAGGATCTTATTGGCATAGTATGTAAGGGTGATCAAAAGTTGTCGTACCAAAAAAGTATATTTTTTCTGAATTTTAACAACAGAAATGGACATAGCTAAGTATTTTAAGGCAAATGAGTGCATTTTTAGTCATTTTTGAGAAACTTTTTTTTCCGGAGATTAGTTCAGGATCTTATTGGCATAGTATGTAAGGGTGATCAAAAGTTGTCGTACCAAAAAAGTATATTTTTTCTGAATTTTAACAACAGAAATGGACATAGCTAAGTATTTTAAGGCAAATGAGTGCATTTTTAGTCATTTTTGAGAAACTTTTTTTTCCGGAGATTAGTTCAGGATCTTATTGGCATAGTATGTAAGGGTGATCAAAAGTTGTCGTACCAAAAAAGTATATTTTTTCTGAATTTTAACAACAGAAATGGACATAGCTAAGTATTTTAAGGCAAATGAGTGCATTTTTAGTCATTTTTGAGAAACTTTTTTTTCCGGAGATTAGTTCAGGATCTTATTGGCATAGTATGTAAGGGTGATCAAAAGTTGTCGTACCAAAAAAGTAACACAATCCTTACTTTCCCTGTTTTCTTGTTACTATTTATAGTGCAGTGCAGTGCATTATATTTCAAATTCTGAATGTATCTATTTGCAAACGTAGACAAATGGTTGTTAGCGTTTCCTTCCACCTTTTATCAAATCAAAGTTTGTTTGACTAGATCGGGGTTATAAAAGTCCAAATGAATGTGATATATGAAAGTGAAATCCGAGGATATTGAGCAAAAAGCAAATCCATCAATCATAATAGTTTTAAATTGTAGGAAGTCAAATCAATCGTGAAAGACGTGAAAGAGGTAATTTTCTATACTCTCTCTCTCTCACTCTCACTCTATCTCTATTTGCATGTTTGTGTCTCTCTCGATGTATACAGTATACATGTCTTTTTTCTGTGTATCATACACTATATATAAATGTGTGTACATATAATATGTCCGTCTAGGTGGGGAATCTGGGTCTGCTCTTCATGTTGCTGTTCTTCATCTATGCTGCTCTGGGAGTTGAGCTCTTTGGAAAACTGGGTTAGTGTGTGTTTGCGTGTACGTACCTGCATATAGGTGTGTGTTTGTGCATGCATCTAAATCTGAGCTGTATATGTGCCCCGTGTATATACACATATATATATATTTATATAGTAGTGAGTTGATAAATGCATTTTTAATAACCATTAATTAACTGCTCAGAATTCTCTTTTTTCTTTGCCGTCACCTCTTTCTCTCTCTCTCTGTCCTTCACTCCCTTTTTTCGTCCTCTTACAGAGTGTTCTGACGAGAACCCATGTGAGGGTCTCAGTCGCCACGCCACCTTTGACAACTTTGGCATGGCTTTCCTCACACTCTTCAGGGTGTCCACGGGGGACAACTGGAATGGCATCATGAAGGTAATTTCACTTTTTTGTCCAATCCTGATGTTGGCTTTTAATACGTGTACTCAGGCATATGCAGAGATAAATCAGGAGGCGTGTGCTGTAGTTGGAGCGAAGATACTTTTATGACAGTCTAAGAGCTGCTGACACCAGAGGGTTAGGACAGAGTGTTATTCTTCTGTGACAGAACACAAGGTCTTTTTATGCCCAGATGAACATCTCTCCCCCCATCGGAGAGGAGAGGAAGTACAACATCCTTTACCTCCCTGTTACCACCTCAATCTGTTATCGTCATTACTTCCTGTGTAATCTCTGACCTCCAGGACACCCTGCGTGAGTGCCGCTCCCAGGACCGCCACTGCCTCACCTACCTGCCCTTCATCTCTCCCGTTTACTTCGTCACCTTCGTCCTGACGGCTCAGTTCGTGCTGGTGAATGTGGTCGTGGCTGTTTTGATGAAGCATCTGGAGGAGAGCAACAAGGAGGCACAGCTGGAGGAGATGGAGGAGCAGAGGGAGAGGGAGGAGAGGAAGGAGAGGGAGGCGGCGGCAAACAGGCGTCAGAGCACCGTGTCCCTGAGTGGAGCGCCGGGGCCGAACTTGGATGCACCTGCTCAGGTAGAGCGTGTTGTGTAGATGTTGTTTGTGGACGTGTGGAAGTGGACTTGGCAGAAGTGCTGACGCTTGAAACGACGTCATGTGGCAGGTTCAGGTCGACGAAGAGGAGCTGTCCCACTCCCAGGGCAACCTGCTGAGCATGGGAGGCATGATATCTCTGCCCAGCGACAGCTACGTTCAGCCACTCAGATGTTCTCCTTTTCCTCACGTTGGGCACGAGGCATATTCTGGCTACAGCTACTCAGGTACTTAAGTCATTTATGGCCAATTCAATCACAGAAAGGTTTTTTTTTTTTTTTACTGATTGCTGTAAAATTGCTGCCTCCATAAATACTCTGCATGCAGTCTAAGTGTGATGTGAGCGTTGTACACAACAGACCAGTATAGAGGCAGAATAGTGTTTATAATGAAGATTTCCATTGATAAAGATTATTATAGTTGCGATCATCAATTTCCATATTAGTCTGTTTAACAAATATAATTATGTTAAATAAGTGGAAGGGAAACTGTGCACTGACAAATTCCACACTTTTATTTTTATTAAAGTTTCAGAACCAATCATCCTGGAAATTGGATTTTACCAAAACCAATTTATTTGCTGCAAAGAGATTTGGGAATACATTAGCAATAGCCAACAGTTTTAAGTGCTTGTACAGAATATACAATACTTAGTTTATTATATTTAACTACTATGAGATATACTTAACATATGTTATAAACCATATATTTTATAAAAATGTAACATTGATTCATAAAAATAATAATTACTGGATGTTTTTCTGTCATCTTCAGGCTCCGTGTCGTCTCTGTGCTCCAGTGGAGGAGGCTCCCTGCTGCAGGTCCCAGGCGCCCTGCCCAACATAAGCCACGCTTCGCTGGGGTCTGGACGCAGCTCAAGGCCCATGATCTGCCTGAGCACCTCTGGGAGTGTGGACAGATACTCCCTGCACAGACTGGGTCCGGCGGACAGCATGGAAGGCCACAGGCTCAGCCCCGGTCACAGGATCAACAGACACAGACTCAACTCAGCTCACAGCATAGACGGATACAAGTTCAGCCCCGCCCATCGGATCAACAGACACAGACTCAGCTCCGCTCACAGCATAGATGGATACAGGCTGAATCAAGACCAGGCCACAGACAGGCCCAAGCTGATGTCCAGTCACAGTATAGACAGACATCCGTCTCCCAGGCTGAGTCCCAGTCACGGTGCCAGCAGACGTCCAACTCAGTGGCTCAGTCCTCAGGACAGTTTAGATAAAAACAAGTTGAGTCCTTCCTACATCCCCGACAGTTCTATTTCAAGAAGACCAGCATCTTTCCATAACGCCAGCAGACAGTTACGAAGACAGGTGAGAATTTATTACCGCCTCTTCTCTACCTTTTTTTGTTTTGAAAAGATGGTTTCGGGGTCTAAAGGAGGTTTTCACATTTGCTTTGTTTATCTTGGTCCCAAATAATGTGCAAGGAAAAAATGTACAAACAAGTTTCTATCTGGTTCTGCAAAGCTGGTCATCTGTTTGACTGGTAGGATATCGCGATATTACCTGTTTATATTTTCTTCATTTGTTCATTATAGCGCCCTCTCCTCTCCTGGTAATTTCTCTTCCCATCTCTTTTTCCCCTCTCTCCCTTCACCTGTCCCCCCCTCCACTTTTCCTCTACTCTCCTCCGTTCTTTTTTCCTATCCTCTCTCCTCACACCTACATGGAGGTCTCTCCATTTTCAGTCTTAGAACTTTCAGAGTTTACAGAGTTAGCCTGAAACTGTGTGCCTGTTAAATAACCTCAGCTGTCATCACACTGTTCCAGTTACTGTAAGAAGCTGAGTTAGGAGTTTAGGTCATTAACTACACCAAGGCTGACAGGAAGACTCGGGCTGCTGTTTTCCATCTTAGTACCTTGTTTTTTGTAATATTTTCTTCAGTCACTGATTCACTCTTCTACCTCTGTTGATACAGTGAACGACTTCCTCCTGAATCTTGTCATTTCTGTGTGTTGTCTGTAGGAGGCTGTTCGCTGTGACTCTCTGGACCAGACAGACTCAGTCGATGATCTGGCAGAACCTCACCTCACAGTGCCCGCCACATCTTCCACGCCACCACGCCAGCGATCGTCCAGTGTCCACACACTGAAGTACACACAACCCCAGAGGGTCATCTCATGCCGGAGCCACAGCAGGGGCCACAGTGAGACCCCCGGGAAACCGCAGCTACCTGAGCGATCAATCTGTGGATCGCAGTCACAGTCAGACAGTGAGAAAAGGCCCGTCAGCCCCCAGAGTCTGTCCAGCGGGAAAACACCCAGTGGTGAGTCTCACTCTTTATCAGCTCCCCTCCGCAGCACCAGAGCAGAGAGCCCCAGCCTTAGCTTCGACTCCGGTCACCAGCAGGACGATGCAGATGAGGAGGTCAGCCGCATTACCAGCTCTGTTCAAAGTCACTCACGCACACAACTTTCCCCCAACTCCTCCCACAAAACCAGACACCTTACCCCCAGACCCGCAGAGCACAGGAGCCGCCTCAGCCAATCGGTGTCGCCTGTGTCGGGCCGGAACAGGAAGCAGAGGATGAGCCCGCCGCCGGGGGAGGAGCCCGTCACCATGGCGACCCAGCATATGGACAGCAGCGTTGACTTGAGGAGGCGGACTCTGTCATTTGACGCTACAAGTGTCTCTCCTCATCCACCAGAGGGCAGCTCAGTAGACGATTGACCGCATGTGGACGTGACTTTATTTTCTAAAGCTGGAGTGCATTGAAGGGGCAAGAGTTAGGAACGGGGAGGACGTCTGTTTCCTGTGTGAGGCCACGCCCCCTACCCTGTCCACATGCAAGATTTTTTACAGGGTGGTCCTGACAAATTCCTCAAAACTGAGTGTGTATTTGATGGAGGACATTTGCCTCTCTGTGATGCACACTGGAAGATGTTTCCTCTTCTCCTACCATAGCTCTATTACTTTAGTTCAGACAGAGTAGTCTCCTATCTCTCTCTCTCTCTCTCTCTCTCAGCTATATTTACCTAAACAGTAGCCTAGCCTTTGCTTGCTTGCTTGCACTCCCCCATCTTCTCTCACTCTTATACCTTTCCTTTCGCCTCAAGCCCAGGTCAGAATAGAGGAGAGAGTTTACCCTCAAAAAGTGAACAGTACCACACAGTCAAAAACATGTTAATGCTAACATTACCTCAATTCCAGGAGTCGTACAGTAGCTCAGCCATCACATTTTATTGACTCCATAAATCATACTACATCTTTAGTCCAACCTGTAAAAAACAGCTTTAGTTAACAGTTTAAATAATTAATATATTTTTATTTATTTATTAAATACATAAATACTAACAATGTGACTGTATTCAATTTGTCCGTACCTTTGAGATAAATATTTCCCCCAGAAAATACATTTGATTAATTATCTAAAAATAACCGCAATTTTAGTCTTTTACATTTTCGTGCTGTTGTGCAAAGATAATGCTCACGTCTGTTGGAAAAGAAAATATAAATGGGCCGTTAACCCACTTAGGACTCACAACAGTGGAGCTTGTATTTAACCAGGCTACAGTCCCACTGGGTGTAGCTCGCCCAGTGTAGGATTACAGTCTGAGAAAACCTTGATATTAGTGTTGTTTCTAGTATTTCCCTCCCAGGCCTGTAACCACACAACCTTGAAGAGTTAAAAAAAAAGAAACGGTTCAGCTCTTAAAGCCCTAGAGTTGAATTCCCTCCATTATGACCTGGGCTTTAGTAGTTTCTACCTCGCTGTTCCCTGATCCCACCCAATCAGATGTGTCCCCGCTCCCATTTTTCCACTTTTTCCTCATCTCGGTATTCTCAGGGTAGAGGTAGTTCAAACACAGGTGAGGTTGATGCATGTGACCACAGGACTGCAGGGTAAGGTCGCCCCCTGCTGTCAGAACCTGAGTTAGCCCATATTGCTGGCTATTTGAAGGGACTATGCTGACATACGTACGTGTGTGCAAGGTTGATGTACAGCAATGGGATGAAAGTTTGTAGAAAAGAAAAGCTGAAACTATATTTTAATAACAGAGCAGAAAAGATATGAGAACAGTAAACGTGACCTGCAACGTTTCCAGTGTCATTTTATCTGCGACTACTTGTTAAAGGCAGTGATGATGCTTTTAGGGTAAATCTGGAATGTTCAGAGTGTGTGTGTGTTCAGACTTAACCTTAAATCATGAGAGTGTGATGGAGTGACTGGGCGAGTGTGTGCAGAGAAGCAGGCAGGGGACAGTGAGCGCACCTGCAGTACCATGACTGGACAGTGTTGAAATAAAACTACTTCCTTTCTGACTTTAATTTGACTTTCTGATTCTGCTTAGCATAATATGTTATTTCCTAACTGTATTTTTTTTTTTTATCGCTCATCTAAAAATAGATGCTTAGTCGCTATCTGCTGGTGCTAATCAATTTAACATAACTGAAGTGCACGGCTAATTACAGTCTTCCTCCAGATGTTGATGACGATGTCTTACTTATCTTTGGAATCTGATCACAACTCGTAATTACATCAAGAACAGTTTCAATGCAAGACAAAATGTAAAACAATTGAAAGAAACAAACAGAGGCGGACCAGCAGCTGTGGCTGTGGCGGTGAGAAGAGTTTATTCTCCATATTTCATTACACCACTTCTGCATATCACAATAAAATATTTAATCACATAAATATTTCACATTAAAACACTACAGTATGCGCTAAGCTGCCTGGCCTGTATTCCCCTGCCAAGACAATGTACCAGTTTCTGTAGGTCCCACCCTTACTCACTATTGGTCAATGGGCGTGAATGTGTCAATTTCAGCCAATGGCAGAGCCGCCTGTGGCTGGTACAGTTAGCTTGACAGAGACAAATAGGAGCAGATAAAAGACCTCAGTGTCCATCCCGTCTCTTTAGCTGAGTGTCCTTTGTTGAGCAGCATCAGTCGTCTACATCTACGTTCTGCTGCACGTCATCATGTCAACAAGCACTCGCGATGTTTGACTTACTACTGTGTATACTTCTTTTTTTTTTTTTTGTACACCAGGGTGGGACTTGTTGAAGGCTCAGGGCAATTACCAATCAAATATGTATAACGAGGCTTTTAAAGAGTCCCTAATCCCCCAGTCAATTTCTACCCCCCCCCCCCCCCCCCCCCCTCCCCCTCAACAATTGACTACAGCTCAGACAGCATTTTCACTATTTACGTAAACCTATAGTCAGATAAATTGGTGTTTCTGATAAACTGGCTGGTAAGGGTATTACAGCACTGCAAATTTCAATTAGGAATTCCTAAAGTGGATTTGGATCAGGATCATCACAGGAAGAACTTGCCTAAGAAATGATCATAAAAGCCATCACAAAATAACAAAAACGGACCCTACTCTGGTTTTGACACGAGTGAAACTCGTCATATGCTTCTTGTTATGGGTGAGTTCAACAGTGGTCGCTTCATGTGCTGAAACATGGAACTATTTTTGACACAGCATGTTACAACTATCTAAGCTGAGCCTGCAGTTGCCATGGTGAAAATAGATCATACATCACACAACTGGGCCAATCCCAGCACAGGATGGAAAGCCAGTGAAGAGAAAGGCAGGAAGTGGTGTGTTAGTAATGTAAGATTCTCACCTCCTCCCTCCCTCTCTCTCCCTCTCTCTCTCTCTGTCTCAGAAAGTCCGTGTGTCTGTCTCTAAAAAGCTGGAGCCATGGGTCTCTGCTGTGTGAGTTTCTGAGGGTCCAGGGTCTCGGTAAATGGCGGGGCCTGATAGGCCTTGGTGGTTACTATGGTAGCACCATTGGTGATGGGATACGGTGTAGCCCGAGCATTGCCAGAGGGAGGTTCCAGGTGTTGCCATGTGAACATGTTTGCGCTGCTGCCGGTTAGGAAGCGTCGTAATGCACTCAGTGTCAGAACAGCCTGTTAGTAGAACATGCACAAACACACACAAACACAAAGAGGAAATACGAGAGGCGATTAGAGAGTCAAGGGTTAAAATGCAGCAGAGTAAAAAAAAGAAAAGAAACAATTTTAGTTTGTTGGCTGCAAAAGGACACCCTGAAAATTAAGCTAACTCCATTTACATCACTGAGTCACAACACTTACATTCAGTAATCTTTCCTATAAAACACAGCTGGACTGGTATCTTTTAATAAATAATGATGGTACTGATCTAATTTAGGTGAAAATATTTCATTTAATTTTCAAAAATCACCCAAAA